TTATTAAATTTATTCCATTTGGCTGATACACACTGTATGACCATTGTTTATGGCATACTTACGATTACTGATACATATAAACAATCCTTATAGCTAAAATATTTGTTTAAGACGAAGTTATGACCGGAACAAGATATATTTTACTTAATCCAAAGACGTATTCAATTAAAAAAAGAATAAAAACACAGCTGTCGCCTTGACCAAATGCACCATTACCGAAAACAATTCCTTGTGAAAGCTATTTTGTATGCACATACCAGAAGAATTTAGATGTCAAAGAATTATGAAATATCCCTTTATGGTGTAAACCAATTACGAAAATGTCTAATTAAGACACGTACAATGGTATTTTTACACAAGTACATACTTTCAAATAACGAAATTAATTAAAAACGTCTAGGAAACATTTTCAAGAAACATGAACTATTTTTCAGCCTTGACCGTGTTTGTGTTAATTTGCTGCGTTCACGGCAAGCCACAGGGAAGGTCACATTTCTGTCAATGTGGCAATCGCATTCGGTCAAATAATTTGCCTATAATCTACATTCAAAATGGAAAAACTACCACGAAAACCACAGTTATTTTTTATACGCTTGTTTATACATAGATTTGTGCGCGCCGCCACTGCGGTGGTTGAAAATTAGCCAGCGTTATAATAAATTATGTGAACATAGGCAAAATATGTCCCTCCTAAGGGCGTACGGCATTTTAAAGGTTAACCAATACAATTTGAAACCGGATATTAAGTCAAAAAGTAAGTATTTTAGTCACACGTTTCAAAAATTGGTAGAATTGTGATCAAAGTTTGCTATAACTGGTCACAAGCCAAGTTCGAGACGACCTCTATTTAAATTTTAACTCTTAAACTAAGAAATTATTTTTATACAGGGTGAGCCATTAAAGGTACGGAGCGGCTGTACATAGGGTAAAAAAATCTATTCACAAATACGGCCAAAAGAAATTGATTTAAAATATTTTCAAGTTTGTAACTTCACCGCTAGGGGGCGCAACTGCTATAGTGTTACAGAAAATTGTCGTTTTTTCGAAATTTCGCTTATATAACCTAAGTTGAAAATACATTTTTTAGATACAGTGTTAAACTCTTCACAGGTTTAGCTAAAACTTTTTTTTTGTTATTACCAAAGCAATGTCATTATGAAGGATGCCATCTTGAAATTTTTAAATTGTCATAACTTCTAAATGCCTTAATCGATTTCAAGAAACGACGGCTCAGTTTAAAGAACTATTAATAAAATTTATATTTGTGATATGGGAATAAAAATATTATTTTCCTGCGCACAGGTAGACGACGCTAATCAGAAAAGTTTTGTAATTGTCTCCGTTTCCAAAAAAAAAAAATAAATAAATGCTGCGATAAAGGCTTGTTTCATGGAATTTACTAAGGAAAACAAATACACTACCCGGAGGTCGATATCTTTTTTCCTTTTCAAGTTATTGATAAAATAATGAAGTTGTTCTAGAACATCTTTCTTTATTTAGTTCTCTAAATAACAATGACATAGTCCAAGCCAAAATTAAATTATAAAACTATATCAAGCTTGTCTTTAAAAAAGTACTTGCTATATTTTGAAATTTTTTTGATAACTGCAATGTTTCATATTTATATTAATTCCAAATATCTGAGTATTTATAAAGATCATTGTTTCCATACCGAGGCAGGCTATGAATATAAACAACTGAAAATTATGTCAAATGAAATGTGACAGCTCTTGTTACGTGCAAAATAGATGCCGATTCTCACTTGCGTGCAAGGCATGTGCTCGGCACGGGCAAAGCACCGGCTCGGCAAAATATCTTAACCATTGTATCTTATGGGTTTTGAGGGGTGTAATTCAAACTATACGTGCAGCGTCTCGGCAACCGAGAGACTTTGCACGCGACGTTCTCCCGAAAGAATATTTGCAGGGCATGTGCCGTGTATGTTCCGATAAGTGTGAATACTCTCCAGGCAGTCAACTTGCAATCATAGGGATTTTAGTTGAGTTTCGTATTGACAAGAATATATGTAGCGTCAGCAGAGGCTCTCTTTTTCTCAGAACAAAATGAAATTCTTATTGAGTATATCAGAGAAAATGAGGTTATTTACGATTTGTCTCATAAAAAATACTCAGACAATGTCTACAAAAACATGATATGTAAAAAAATTGGCGAGAAATTGCAATAAGATAGGTATATTTATTAAATACGTATTAATCTATACAGATATATTAAAACAATCACGATTTCTTAACAATAAAATTTTGTAATTTAAAAAAACGTATTTTTCTTTTTCGGAAATTTTTATTTTCTTGCTCTTCTTCATCTAAGATTAGAACAATTTTTACCAGAGTGGAAGTCACGAACATTTTTTCACAAAGCTAGGGAAATACTACCTGCGGCATGCCTGTCGCAGTGTGAATTGTCTCTGAAAACTCGGCCTGTGCCGAGTAAGTGCCCTGCCGATGCCAATCCGATTCCTTGCTCGTCTAATGAGAATCGGCCTTTAATCTATTGGCTTGTGTCCATGTAAATCCCCAAATAAATGTTAGGCAATTAGTTAGAAACCTAGGAATTTTATATGGAACACCAGTACTTTTCTCACACAAATGACACTAATTTTGCACGAAGCGAGAGCTGACACAAATCGTTTGACATAATTTTTAATTTGACTATTTTCACAGGACATAGCCTACCTCCTTATGGAACAATAATCTTTATAATTACTCAGATATTTGAAATTAATAAAAAAATTAAACATTGCAATTATCAAAAAAATTTCAAAACATATCAAGTACTTTTTTTAAAGACAAGCTTAGTATAGTTTTACAATTTAATTTTGGCTTGGACTATGTCAATATTATTTAGGGAACTAAATAAAGGAGGATGTTCCAGCACAAATTCACTATTTTAGCAATAACTTGAAGATGAAAAAAGATATGGACCTTCGGTTTGTGTATTTGTTTTCCTTAATAAATGGTATATCAAGCCATGAAAAAAAAACTATATCGTTGCATTAAATTTTTTAGTAAACAGCGACAATTACAAAACTTTTCTGATTGGCGTCGTCTACCGTTGCGTAATATAACGAGCGTTCAAATAAAAACGTGGTCAAGTTGGTTCTGAAAATTTGAACGTAGGGCGTAGCGTATAGCAAATGAACTTATACGTCATCTGTCAAAGCGCTATATCGCCGCTATCAATTTGAATATTTTCGTTTTAAAAAGCGTTTAAAATGGTGTTTTCTCAAGAACAAAAAGTGTTTATCAAAGAGTCCTACTTTAGAAATGGACGCAAGATTTATGGAATATGGAAGTATTCTATTGAGGAATGTTTCATAGAATTTCAAAATCAATTTCCCGGCGTTGTTGAGTGCAAAATTTTTCAAAGTGCAGTTCAGCGTTGTGTTCATGTTTTTCGTGAAACGGGCAGTGTAACAAGAAAAGAAGGAAGCGGCCGACCTAAAAAGCGGACTGAAGAATTAAAAAAAAATGTCCAACAAATAATGGAAAATGCGCCAAGAACTTCTGTACGTGTTTTATCACAAATGGTGGGAGTATCAGTCGGTACCTGCCACACAGTGTTAAAAAAAGATTTGCGTTTGTTCTCCTATCGTTTAACTTGTCAGCAAGAACTTCATGAAGTTGATTTTCCGCGACGGGCTGTATTTTGTGAATGGTTTTTAAACAACTACGGTGAACTTCATAATATCACCTTTTTTTCTGATGAAGCCTGGTTTCATTTAAGCGGTTACGTAAACTCACAGAATATGAGAATGTGGTCTTCTGAAAAACCAGATAACTTTTTTGTCGAGGGCCCTCTACACGCTCAAAAAATTGGAGTTTGGTGTGCTCTCAATCGAAGGAGGATTTATGGACCAATTTTTTTTAATGGTACTCTTACTGCGCAAAGGTATAGAGAAGAAATTATCGCTCCTTTTGTTAACCAGCTGGAAGAAAACGAAATTACAAACTTTTACTTTCAACAAGACGGCGCAAGGGCACATACGGCAGGCGAGACGATGAATATGTTGAGGGAAGTTTTTCAAAATCGACTAATAAGTCCCAATGCTGAACATGAATTTCCACCGAGGTCATGTGATATTACGCCATGTGATTTCTTTCTGTGGCCTTACCTTAACAACACTATTTTTGAACTGCCTATTCCTGATTTAAACCATCTGCAGGCTCGACTTATAGACAAGATTCGTGAAATTAACAATACCCCGACCATCTTAGAAAATGTCTTTAATTCTTTGAGGAACAGGTGTGAAAAGTGCTTGGAACAGGGAGGGGGACACTTTCAGCAGCTGCTTTATTTTATTGTTATAACAAGGAGGGGGACACTTTCTGCAGCTCCTTTAATTGTTTGTTATTGTTATCACGATTATTCTTTAAAATAAAGTTATATAGTCATTAACGTTATTGAAACTGACAGCTGCTATACAGCTCGTTGAAAAATGAGGTTAAGTTGGTCGCTATAAGCTACTCCCTACGTCCAATGTGTCAGAGCCAACTTCGACCACGTTTTTATTTGAACGCTCGTTATATGGAAAATAATATTTTTATTCCCATATCATAAAAATAAATGTTATTAATAGTTCTTTAAAATGAGCCGTCGTTTCTTGAAATCGATTAAGGCATTTAGAAGTTACGACAATTTGAAACTATTTCAAGATGGCGATGGCGTTGCTATGGCAATAACAAAGCGGTGAAATTAAGAACTTGAAAATATTTTATATCAATTTCTTTTGGCCGTATTTGTTAATAGATTTTTTACCTCATAATCGTAACACGTCTACTTTCCTATATACATCCGCTCCGTATCGTTAATGGATCACCCTGTATTTACAACATAGTAGAAATATTCAGTACCAAAAATCAGTATTTTATTTCTAACCTGTTAAAAGCCAAGATATGATGAAAACCGAAAAATGTTAAAAGTAAAACGTAGGTGCATATCTTAAAAAGGTTTCAATTTTTTTTTCTATACTCAGAACTGACCTGCCCTTGTTATCCTTGCAACGTCGAACTTGCTGCTGTAATTGACTTTGAAGTAGTTCTCCACCACTGCCCTCTCGTACTTCCCTTGCCCATTTAAAGGACTAAATAAATACTCAGGGTCTATATTGTTGTGCAATCTTTGGTATCCAGTCATTCCTAGTATCGTTATTAGAACTGGAATTATTAAAAAATAACCAGGATGCCTCCCCACCACTAAACCGAGCTTGTAGAAGGACTTGTTCAGGCAGTCGTCCACAATTTTCAGGCCCACCATCTGAAAAAAGAGACAGAGACGTTATTAGAAATCGAAAGTTGTGTGGAAATAATTACAGTAATTGTAAAATTGTATTGGAATGGTAAAGAGCACCTCAAGGATAAACAGTAGACCCTATATTTATTCCACTGCTGTATAAATACATTAATTTTGTTCTCGCGTTAAAATATTGATGAACTAAGTGTCGCGGTTGTTTGAATTGTCTTTAGATTGTGACATGTGACATGTTGAAGATTACATACCATTTATGGCTTATGTGTACGATCAATAAAATATTATATGTGTAGATGTTCAGAGAAAGCACTATCAATAACATTTCTAATTTTACTAATGCTTGCTTGTTTAAAAAAATATGTATACCTTCTTGTAGAAAGTTATATACACATATGTCGCAGTTATTTTTCATGCTTTGGGTTTGTTCAAAATAAAGATCAGCATGTACGTTTCAAAAATAGAATTATTTTATTTTATACAAGAAACAAACAGGTTACAGTGAACTTACTGAATCAAGACAACAAATATATTCTTATCAAGAAAGGTATGTATTTTCAGCTGTCGCATATCAAAGTTTGACATGTTTTTTAAATATAAATACTATATAAATTTATTTTGTATTGTTTATAGATCATTAAACAAATATTTAATGAAATTAATATTTTTAAACTCCCAAATTGCCCTTTTAATGTATACGATGCATTTATTTATTTATTGCTTTTTTATGACTTCATTATTTGAAAATAAATTAATTCCTCGATTTTCTAAAGAAGAATTTTTTAATCCTTTCCTTTCTTGTTTTAGCTTTACTAAATGTCATTATTAATATTAAATTTAACAACAGAGTATTCATTCTTTCGTGTCGCATTTACAAAATTAGAAACAATATTTTTTTATGTTCAATATACTCACCACGAGCTTGTTTAATTTTTAATTTTATATTTGCTCTTAATTCCCTGTAAAAATTAAAAAAAATCGAAGTGAAATCTTATTCTAAAATTTCCTTTTAACTTTAAATTAAATTTTATTTAATCTGTAAAGCAAATAAGCAAGTAATCTTTATTCATATTTTCAAATATATAGAATTCTTAAAATTCAAATAACTCTTTCACAAAAATATACAAGATGTAAATAACGAACATAACTCTATTCTTGTAATTTTTTACTCAGTCGAGTTATTGAGAGTAATCTACTAACACTACTGACAAGTTTTCAAATAACTTCAGTAATAAAGATTCAATTTGGATGTGACTGGCACCATTTTTTTCTAGAAAAACCCAAATCATATTTCCTACCAAGAACCAACTAATAACTTAGAAGATAAAAAAATCAAAAAAGAACCTTCCTTAGAAACATTAAAAAGTTTTTCTAATTTTAATGTAATTTTTATTTGAAGCATGGCAACGTGATTAATTACAGAACGAATTTTCAAAACTTTAATTTTAATAACACATTAATAGCGATTTCCTGGTAAACGGTTACATTTATCGACTTGAACAGTGGGTACATAATGTATGTATGTATGTATGTATGTCGGAGGGTGGTGGAATTGTTTTTCCACCGCAGCACTTAGGCCTTATTAGGCCCCTTGTACACCCTCCTTCATTACTCGAATACTTTTCTTCAAACCATCCTATTTACTACACGGGTGGCTTGGTGGCAAAGTCTCGTACAGTTTATGAATGGTAGCATGGTCTTGAGTTACAGAGATTTTCTTTGCTCTGTTCTCATTGCAATTTATCGAGGACCACACACATGCGGCAAATGTTGGTCTACCCAGGTCTCTGGTAGGTTGCCACAGCCACGTCTCCGAGCCTGCCTTAGGTCACCCATCCAAATTCAAGCCTGCGTCCGTGATGCTTGCCTCGGCAGATCGAAATCCACCTGCCAAGACAGCCGGCTAGGCGGTCCCCTTGGTACATAATATTTCTTATATTGTTTCTCTTTTCAATAATAAATAATTTCTGAGATGTCTACCCAGAGAAAAAAGTTATGAACAAAACAAATTTTGAGTTCTAGGTAAAGTGCCCTCTAGCGGTGCATAATGAAACTTTTCTCTGACTGGTCCAATAGAGCTTCATCTACTTAGTGGGTGTGCCAAATGAGAGACTAATCGAACTTGAATGAAATAAGTTATTTAAATAGAAAAATAAAAAAAAATGAACTTTGACAAGCTGTAACTTGCAAACAATTGATAATTCGAAATAATAATTACTTACTGCTATTATTTTAATCCGTAGAATCTCCTCCCGGAGTTTCCTGACGGGCTTTCAGAACGCTCTGTATATAATAATTTATATCTTATATTTTTTTTTTGTGAAAAAGTATTCATTATATCTCAGCCCACGATATCCCAAAATACCCTGCTAATTACTACAACTATTAGATCCGCAATTCGCGTTACTAAATCTGTCTCAAATTGTACCTATCGCCGATTATTGGTACAAGATATAAATAATTAATCGAAATTATCTCCTATATTGTAATAGCATTATTGTCTTTAGGAACGCCGATTGTTGGATAGCCTTGCATTTACGTCGATTAATTGTTTTGATACCAGATTTTTTATTTGCGGTTACAAGTAGAAACTTACTGTATAAACAGAAATAATAAAACGACACAATACAGGCGACTGATTTAAAAAGTGTACTTATGAAAAAATCACAATAAAATCTGGAATTTTTATACAATTTTTGTGGGTTATTTATCCATTATGAGACAGTAACATATACAGGGTGTAAGGCAACAAAGCTTCCTTGGATGAAAATAAATCGATTTAGCTCAAATTACCTTGAACTTTTTATTGAAACAATTTAAGAAGTAAAGAAGTCGTCTTAAAGAATACAAAAGACTGAAACTTGTAACTTTTTAAGAACAAAATTGAAGGTAGCTTCATCTAAAATGATTTATTTTCAACCTCTCCGGATATTCTGCATACAGGGTGATATAAGTTTTGAAAACTGTAATATGTATATAAATTTGTTTGTGGTGTCAGATTTGGCACCGTTTTAAAAAACTTTTCATACCTTTATTACCCCATCAATATGATTGAATTTCTTTGAAACCTACTGTACGTTATTATTATAATTTCCTGATTATCATTCTGTTAACAAAATACGATTAAAAACGTGCTCAAAAATTAAACCACTCTTGACGTACTTGCAAATGTACTCAATGTCATTGTTCTAACATTTATGGGCACGAAATCAGTAAAAAATAGAGAATGTTTGTATGATTTTAAGAACCTAGAAAATCCAAAAAATGTAGGACTAATATAATATATGTTTCTTTCAATTACCGACTTCCAATCAACAATGTAAACCGTGAAGAAATATCTGGGCTTCTAGTTTTCACAACAAGGCATTTATTAAGTAAACAATTATTATAACATTATCATATCTGGGCAATTAATCATAACAAGTGTTGCTGCGTGCAGTGAGTGCAACCGAGATTCAATCTGGAAAACCACGCTCAGCCAGTTTCGATAACGGTAGGTTGTAATCCAACACCAACACGGTGTCGTCGATGAGCAGAAGTCGTGACCCAGTTGTGGAACACGCTGACTGGGTCACCGATATGATAATATCGGATGCTTTTGGTGCATGAATATAACGATGTTAGAAATGGAAACCGATATTAATGTGCAGAAAACACAAACACGTATTATAGTTATTTACACCATAAAGGAGCTATATAAGTATTATTTACCAGTCGAGGACGATTTTGCGCCCGAGCGGAGCGAGGGCTGGCAATAGAGTCCGAGACTGGTAAATTATACTTAACTGCTGAGTGGTGTAGATATAACATTTTATTTGCTCCCAGAGTTTTTTATGGTTCATGAAATAAAGATTAGGTTTTATTTTTTGACATTTCTTAATCAATTCATTTTGACATTATTCGAAATCTTGGAAAATGGCCTTGGTTGTTTGTATTTTGTCGTTTCTAAACAAAGCTACTTAAAAGTTGCAATTTTGCTCGTTTTGAATTATTATTTTTAAATGAGTGATTTTCAAATAGAAAGTGCAGCAAATGCTGTCTACGAATTTTTGTTGCTCGAGAAGTCGAAAGTGCGCCCGGACGAGCATATAGAAATTTCAAAGAATGGTGCCAGAACAAAAATACTATTTCTGAAATGTCACTGCTAGCATATCTCATGGAGAAGTCAAGAACTTTAAAGTCACCGACGAATTTGTAGAGTGAACACTCAATGATTAAGATAACTATTTTCATAGAGGAGAACGTGGATATATCAAAATACCCCAAGCTGAGAGCAGTTTTGAAACGTAAGAATGACGGTTATACACTTAAAAAGTCAAACGTTTTTAAAAGAGAACAAGTCAATGATTTTCTCGTTCTGGCACCCGATAACACATATTTGCTAATGAAGGTAATGACGGACTCGGGCATTACAGGAGAATGCCGTACTGATTAGTTACTTACTAAACTTACTTTGGACAACGTCAATTTCAAACATTTCGATGACATTATTGCAGTTACAATTTCAGATTTTAAAAAAGGTATGACACGTACGTTTACAATTACTTCTCGTCTAGGTTCTGTTTCTCACCTAGACATTCTCAAGAAATATATCAAGATTAGATTGGAAATTAAAACTGAAATTTCACACCTTTTTATGCGCTGTCAAGCAGGTAGATCTCACAACCAACCAATCGGCAAGAATACCCTTTCTATAATTCCTAATAAGATTGCACAGTTTTTGAAATTAGAACATCCTGAAACATACACAGGCCATTCATTCCGAAGAACTTCGGCAACGTTACTGGCTAATACCTGGCTAATAATATCTTGATGTATTAGCAATTAAGAGACGTGGTGGGTGGAAATCAGCCAAATTGCAGAAAGTTATGTTGCTGACAGTTTAAGTAACAAAAATGAAATAGTAACAAAAATGAAATAGCCAACAGGATTCTTTACAATGACACTTCAACTCCAGGTTCTAGTCGTATGCCGCATCATGCTGTTTTAATAGATCAGTCAGATAATAT